TAACTAGGAGGAACTTGGGTGACTTGTTTAACCACTCTGCTTCATAGTCCTCATCTCTAAATGAGAATAACATTACCTCATAGACTTGTCCATGGGATTGAATATATATATAAAGCTCTTAAAGCAGTGCTTGTATATAGTGAGAATTTTTTTATGGATTTATACAGGATCCTTCATTAAATTTGGGTAAAATCCACTAAAGGGGAAAAACAGAGAAAGGGGGAAATGTTACTATTAGTATTAATTAGGTTAAAGTCACTGGCGTGACCAAGAGGCCCTCCAGTCATGGGCCCTTGCTTACCTGCCCTGCCTCCTGCATTTCCTCTATTACATTTGCTATTAGTCTGTTCCATTAAAACCAGATTATTCTTTTAGCCCCAAACTATACTGTGCCTTATCTTTGTTCACACTGCACTACCTAGTTGACATTTCCCACTGGCCTTACACGGCCTACTTTCTATTAAGTTTCTGCCAAGTAAAATACAATGCTGATATATTTGTGTCCCCAGCCAGACGTTTTGTTCAAAGTTTTTTATTTCTTGTTTTCTCTTTTCTTCCCTAGACTGTGAAGCTTTCAAGGGTAGCGAGAGTCTTAGAAACCTTGGTAGCCATGGCACCTAGCAGGGTGCCACCTATACAAGGTCTCCCTTGTATAGAAGACATTAGAGAAAAATATATGTTGAATGGAAGAGGACTGAAAACACTCTAGTAATTCTGAAGTCATAAAATTCTATTTAAAGTACAGTCAAAGGAATTGGCTCCATGAGTGCATCTGGCAACAAATCTCATTCATTATTACAAAAGGCATAATGTAACTGTCATTATTTTTTTCAAAATTAAATGTCACTTAACCACAACTGGTGGTTAAGGAATTAAGGAATTTGCTCTTATTGAAGGAATTCAGTTTGAATATACCTGAGATGTTTGTAACAGCGCCATTCAATGCCCTGTAAATTTTGCTTCGTTATATATAATGTCTTCAAGACTTAAAATATCCTTAGATTTGAAGGTTAGGTTGTTTCAACATTTTATTTCTTTAAAAGTATACATCAGATAGTGCTACTACTAACTGTCTACAGTATCTTTTGTAAGCTAGTTCAGTAGCAATTGAAAGCAGTAATGAAAAACTAACGTCTCTATTTTTCTACTTTGGTAGATTTTGCTCAAATTTAATGAAGGATCCTAGACAAATCCATAATTACATCCTTCAAATAAAAGTAATTACCTACATTTCAGTGATGGCTCAAATCTGCATTTGAGTTTATAAAATAGCAAAATCAATAAATTAGATTTGAACTTAATTCAGATATATCCCCCAAATTCAAACAATCCTGTCCATTAGTTCTGCCCCCAAACATAATAAACACGTCTCTGAGCTCCACTACTGCAGTATTCTTTGCACTTGCTATTGATGGCACACTGGGTGCCTCTCCGTTAGCCAGGAAACATCAGCAGTGATCCTTCAAATTTTTTAGTTAAATTATGTCAACCCCTGAGTCAAAACCCTCTCATCTTTTAGGTATTATAAGTAAAGCCTAACATCTTTAGGACGGCTTTTGAGGCCCAAGAAGACCTGCTGCTGCTTGCCTACCGAGCTCCCCTCTGTCTATGTCTGGGTCACTTTAACTATAGATACAATGAATTTTTTGTTGTTGTTCATCTTGAACATGCGTTGTTGGTTCCTGCACTGGATTTTTGCACCAGTATCTACTCTGTTTGCAGTGGTAGGTATTTGACACAAGGCTGTGTTGTTAGTTCATGCACATTCTCCTTCTTAGCTGTCCTCCAGGACTGCTCACCTCAGGGAGCCTATCCCGTCCAATTATGGGCTGTATGGCTGCTGACATCACTGACAATCAGATCTTCATCACTCTGTCACCGTTTCATAATGCTGATAACTCACTGCAGTTTGCACTTCAGGGAGTGGACTCCTCTGAATCACTGCTGTCCCTCCTTCCATCACCTGGTTAAAGACAACCACCTCACAAACTTCTGTGACTGAACCATTTTACTTTTAGAAGGTCTGTTTTATCCCCTTAACGCATTCATGATAACCAAGGAAGACAAGATTGTGAACTGGGTCTCTCAGGGCAGGGCATGCTCTTTGACTACTACTGAATCACCACATATTGGGATGAGATTTCTTAAAACAGTAGGTTCATCCCCCAATTGTGGACAGTAACCCTGAGCATCCTTAGGTAGGCGTTTCTAAAGTTACTTCCCCTGGAGGTTTAGCCTCAAGAAGCTGGGAGAAAACAAGAGCTGTAGTAACCACTTTCTTTTTTCACTGCGACCTCTCCCACTCTTCTGACAATTCTCAAATAAAGAAAGTTTTGTCTTGTTGCTTTTCTAGGTGATGTGAAATTCCTTTATACAAAATTCCATGCAAACTCAGTGGTTTGTGTTTGCTGACAAACATCAAAATGAAACGTTAAAACAGTTAGTGAATCATCTTGATGTTTCATCTTTAAGTTACGAAGCGTCTGGATCTTGCCAAATCATCCAAGTAATTGACTAATCCACCAAATCTTGTCTCAATATAGAAGAAAGGAATCGAAGTGCTGTAGAAATGCTTTCTTTCTCAAGACTGATTAATTTTAAACCATGCATCGAATTGGAAGAAAGCAGACATTTTGTTCCACTTCTGCCTCATGGCAGCAGATACTTTGCTGTAGGAGGGGAGGCAAGGAAACAAAGGAGAAAAATGTTTGTCATGAATGGTTTAGACAAACATACAGGGAAAGGAAGAAAATGACTTTCTGTCTACATGTAATAATAAAGGAGACTAGAAATAGTGATAGCTGTATTCAAATAAAACATTATCAACAAAAGTAATCACTGTATGAGAGTAGCTCCATTAGTTGTATGTGATTTATTCAGCAGGCTGAGCCATTAAGTCATAGCTATGGTTTGAAATGTGTACACCCACACACACCCGAATATGAACTGCCAAACAGGAAGGAAAATTCAAGCCACCTTGTATATTTCATTATTTGTTCTCATTGTGGAAAAAATTCCCAGTGTTTGGTTTTTCTGATTTCCTAGCTAAGATCATTTTGTAAACATCAAATCAGACCCTGGACAGTGAAAATAGATACAATAAAAGTGAAAATGGCTTTTGGTGATGAAACAGCAAAACATTTTTAAATTCACAGATACTCAAAAACCATGCCTATATGGAAGCAGCAGATATAGGTTTAAGTGTGCTTTATCTCTGTTTGTATTATTACTGTTTTAATCTTTTATGTAAAAATTATAAACAATATATACTGTACTCTGTATAAAAAGTATTTGTGTTTCTATTCATTTAACAGTCTTTAGCACAAGACACACCTAATTTTAACAAAGAAACTAGACTACCTACTAACATTTCATTACTTTTTTTTCTAATTGGGGTCTCTGCTGCTATTCAAAATGGATGTCTAAGCACAACAGCCATAAATATTCCCCAAAAGTTCCTGTACAAATGAAGATTGTAATCAGAAGTATTAGAAATTTTGAAATTAGGTCTATGTTTGACCCATGTTTGATCCAATTATTTATGGATGAATTTTTGTTTGAATTATCAGAAGCCTAAAAAATGAGGAAAATAAAATATACCTTACAACATTACTTTGATGATTGAGTGATAATCACATACCTGTTACAATGTTAAGTAGATTTTATAAAATATAGACAAAGTTATATATAAATGTACATTTTCCTGTATATCTTAGAAAATTCCATGTAAAATTTATGTTAATGTCAAGAATTCAATAACCAAGTATATATGAAGGGAACATACTGAATTAGGTGACATTAATTTTTTTCCTGTAAACCATATATCAAGGCTATGTGTAAATCCAAAAAGAAATGAGAGTGAATTTTGTTTTAAAATTAACCAATTTTAATAAGAAAAGAAATTCAAGTGTTTAAAAGATATAAAATTCGGACAAAAGGTGCATGTGTGTGTGTGTGTGTGTGTGTGGTGAGTATGGGTACCTAATAAATACATCTGGTAACCTGAGAATATAAGAAGCTGATTGAGTCTGTTCTACAGCAAAACCCATTTTTGAGAGGGAATAAATCCATACAGCCTAGTTAAAATTAGAAGTTAATCTCCCCTTTATTTTACTTGAAGCTACTCCATAATTTAAGGATATTTATTCAAGGCTGGGATGATGATTATCAGTGGGTCAGAGTCACATGTTTTTATTAAATCTAATTCTTATTATACCATAAATAATTTAAGAAAAATTGAAAGTGTTTGACTTCATTTATACCAGTCATGTATTTTGGTTGGCAAATCATAAATAAAAAGAAAAGACATATCAATATATAATACAACAACCATTGCTAATTTCCTATCACCTTGTCTGAGAGTCTGTATTGCTTGTATTGTTTTTGTGTTATTTTCTAAGTGTATGTGTGTTTGTTAAGATGTTTTTGTTCTTTTATCTTTAAAATAAAAAAAGAAAAGACATTTACACAAACCATCTCATTATTTTATCTTTATTTTGCTAAGCAGTCATATCTTTATAAACATCAGATATTTAGCAACTTTTAAATTTTATTTTTAGTGATACAAATACAATTTATGCTGTAAGTGACCAAAATTAAAAAATAGAGAGCATGCATGGTGTATGGTTATCAAGATGTGCTCACTTCCTTAGAGTTTTAGTGACAGCATTGCTTCTTTTTAATAACATTTCTCTTCTCATGCAGGGATTGATAAAAACATACTCTGAATGTTTAAGATTTTGTTACGATAAAATACACATTGCCATTAATGTCCCACACAATGCTGTCCGTCTCCTGACAGTTATCCTATTGCTTTGCCACTTTCTGAAGCAGTTCAATTTTTTGAAAAGCAAAAGAATTCATGAATTCATATAACTAAAGGGTGAAATACATACAGAAAACCCGGCCTTGCAAGATTTTCATTTTCTTTGGTTGTTTTGATACATACCTAGCCACTGAGCATGCTACACTAACATACTCATTTCTCTCTTTCTCAACAGATTTAGAATGTGATAACTCAAGCATTTGATAACAGAGTGGAATAGTTTAACAACTATCTATGTGCTTCCCATGATATGTGCTCTGTATTGTAAGTACATTTCTGTTTTTTCAAACTAGTTTGATTATGGGAGAAATGTAATCAATTACATTTCTTATAGATAATTAGATAATTAGACTTATAGATAATTTAGATTGATTCAAAAATTATAACCAAATTGCATCCAATATAGAATGTATTTACAAGATTTTCAGATATGAAAAGATGTTATATAAATTAGATTTGAAACTACATCAAAGTTAAAGCTTAAAATAATTATCATGGCAAAATAATATACTGAAATTTAATTATACCTAAAAGTCTTATTAATATCCTTGAGTCTTTAGTTTTCAAGAAACAAATGACATAAATATTGGGCATATGCAATCTTGTTCTAAAGTATTAAAAGTTCTTAAAATTTCCCTTAAAATATAATTTAAAACATACTTTAAGTTCAAATCAATACTTTACAATTATATTGTGAAATATAATTTACAACATATTTTAAGTTCAAATGTGTAGTTATGTTTCAAAAAATAGTTTTGATTTTGACTAAATAATACCTACAGAACTAAATCATTTGTAAATATGTATATCACTTCTTAAATAGCCCAAATTAAAAGGTAAGGAAAAGTAGTCTTTGCACAGACGTGAAGCTCTTACTGTTCATTTCCCTTTTTGGAAAAATAAAGAAGGAGGTAGAGGCCTGGGACACTATGCTTTGTTTTTGAATAACAAGTGCTAAACATTCTGGAAACTATTTAATAAAGGCAATGCACTACACATTTCAAAAGGACTGGAAGAAAGGATTTTCAATGTTTTTATCTTGGAGAAAGGATATGTCTTGGTTACTTTTGCCTTGCTGCTGAGACAAAATATAGCTGACACCCAATATTAAGGAAGGGAAGGTTTATTTAGCTCACAGTCTGTGGCAGTTTCAATCCATACTCAACTGGCTCCAAAGCAGGGTGGCACATGGCACAAGGCAACCATTTATGGGGGCAGAAAATAGCAAAAGCAGCAAGAGCAAAAAGGGAGGAGTGGCAGCAAGCAGCCTCTTTCTCTTCCTTACATATGCAAACTATCCACCCTCAGGCAGTGTAGCACTCACACTCATGAATCAGCCATAAGCTCTAAAAGCCCGCCCCACAACTGCATGTGCCTTTGGGGCGACACCCAGATACAAACCATAACAGGATAATTTTTTTTTTATTTATTTTAAAGACAATAATAAAAAAAACAATAAAAATACAGAATTTCAAAACAAGATGATAAGAAACTAACAACAGTGTTTATATTGCATATTGTTATTTTCAAAGTAGTTGCTCAGATTACCAGATATATACATATAAGATTGGTCAAACAATATAAACACTAACTAGGAAACAGATGTGTTAACCTTGATTTGAACAATATATAATATATATACATAAATGTGTATCAAATCATCACATTGTGCTGAATACATATGTACTATCATGTCAATTAAAAGGATACAAATAGATACATTTTAAAACAACCAAAAGAAGAAACAAAGAAGTACTGAGCAGTAAGTACCAGCTTATAGAAATGGGAAGGAAAGAGGCAGTCTAATCTTATTCCCTCAGAAGAAAGTAAGCCATGAGCTGGAGCCCTTCACTTTCAGAACTTAAAATTTCTGACATGTGTATGGCATCAAGAGATGCTACCTCTTAACCCCTAATACATCCGGGCCTAGAATCACCATCCCAAGCCTCACTCTCTATTCTCTCAGTTCTGTTTTCTAAGTCTCCTGTCTGAGAGTATAAAAACTGTTCTCAATGATTTGGAATGTGGCGAGCCTGGATGCTTCTGTGTGGAAGGTAGAGTGAAGTGAAAACTCATCCTTCTATGGAAAATGTGGGGGTACCTGGATCTATTTTGAAGATTGATGGTAGTGATGGATAATTTATTAATTCCACTTCACAATATTGAATGTAATTTGACATGAAATATAATTTAATACATAATATGGACTTCGAAGCAATACTGTCTTATAACCATATAATGTGAACTGCAGCTATAGCTCATTGATAGAGCATCTTTCCTTCGCTGCATGCAGCCCTAAGGTGGATCATCAGCATTACAAAAATACATTTAGAATTTTACCCATGACATGCATGAATTAAGTTTGTTTTTATTCTTCAGTAATATTCTTTGTATAGATATAGCACAGTTTTAAAAATTCTATCCATTTTGATAAGTAATTAGTACCACCTTATTGTGGTTTTAATTGATATCTCTCTAATAATTAATGATGATGAACTTTTTTATTTTAAAGATTAAAAAAGCTAACAAAACAACAATGAAGACAAAATCAAAACAACACAAAAACAACAGAAATGATACATGACCTCCAAACAAAATGATAGGAATTAACAATGGTTGCTACATTGCATACTGTCCTCTTCAACCCAGTTGCTCAGTCCAGCAGATGTAAGAATGTAAGATTGATCAAACAGTCAAAGATAGTAACAAGTAATAATAAAGAAAAAAGATTGAAAATGATGCAGAGCTTCACCATACAAAATGGTAGGAGTTCAACAGTGGTTCTTATACTGCATATTGTTGTTCTGAACATTTTTATATACTTATTAGTTATCCATAATTCTCCTTTGGTGAAGTACAAATAATTTACTTGTTTATTTTTGTTTATTTATTTATTTATTTATTTTTTGATATCAGGAATCAAACTCAAGACCTTGCACTTGCCAGGCAGGCACTTGTGCTGCTGAGCTATATCTCCAGCCCTTTATTTATTTTTAAATTGGGTTATTTGTTTTCTTATTATGCTTTAAGAGTTCTTTATATGTTGTGGCTATAAGTCCATCAAAAGTATTATGTCAGTAGTTTATACTCCCGTTTTTTAATGAGTGCCTTTCACAGAGAAATATTTTAAATATTTTATTTTGTATTTAAATGTTTGATTCACTCACTGTAATTGGGAAAAATATAATCAGGTAATTCATTCAATTACAACAGAGCATGTCCCTTGTACCAAATAACAAGAAAAAATCTCAAATCCTAACATGTATTATACTTTGGAAGTGATCACATTGTGTATTTTCTTATCCATAAATTCTCTTAAATTTATGGTTCTATGCAAACTCACTTTTTCAGAGGTTTAGGATTGATATTTTATTCTCACTGAAATGTTAAAGTTATATGGTCCCTTACATGTGTTCAGATTTCAGGCTTCCAAATGTATTAGGTAACAGACTTGTAGCATTAGAGCAACAGTTTTTCTGAAACAGAGTTATCCAGTTTTGCAGTCCCTAGCTACGTGTGACTGTCAAACATTTGCAATGTGGTGAGTGTTACTGAAGTAATGCTATTTAATTTTAATTAAATTTTGAACCTGATACATGATTTCATTGTTGGAAATTTTTAAAATATGTGCAGGTCAATTTGGGATGTTAACTACCTATTCAACCTATTGAAAGTTACATAATATCTCTCATGAGCTCAGTATCTTCATTGATTAAATCATTTGATGCCACGTACCCTTGTATGATATAACGAGGATACCACACTTCTGTAATATTAATTCTTCCCTGAAGATACCACACTAGTCATGAGCACAACATCAGGCAAAGACAAATTGAGGGATATACTACAAACTGACTTGCCTACACTGATGAAAAGTTGCAAGGGGATGACAGAGAAGACAGAAGCACAGCTGAAATCAAAGAATCTCTATGACAGCATAGTACAGTATGCAAGATTTGATTTTGAAATAGTGGGTATTAGTGTAAACGGGTGAAATTTGAATAAAACCTGAAATTTACTTGATGTTGTTTTGTTAATATTATTAGTTTTGATAAATATGTCATGGTTACATTAACAGTGTAGGGGAGCAGAAGAAAGAGAATAGAGGACCCTGTACACCTTTGCAACTTTTCTATCAATAGCAGGTTTTTTCTTTATAAAATAGAGAAAGTGCTTTTAATGAATTACAGTCCATCACTTGGTCGCGGTTAATACAGAAAAGACATAAGGAACTTAAAAGCTCATTAACAAAAATGACAAATACAGTAATACAATTTTAAATTAGACAAAGTATTTGATTAAATACTCCTCAAAAGAAGAAAATAATCATATGCTCTTACAGTCCCGGCTATTTAGGAAGCTAAGGCAGGAAGACCTCTTGATCTCAGAAAGTTAGTAACTAGCCTGGGCAACATAGCAAGACCCACATCTCAGGAAAAGTTAGAAAAAAGGGGTGGATGGAGAGGAAGAGGGAGAGGAGGAGTAGGGAAAGGGAGAAGGAGATCAATCTCCACTATCTTCAAATTCAATGAAAATTTCCATTTGCATTAACTTTAGCCTAAACATTTAGGGTAGATGAAGTCAAACAGATCTGTAAAATTTGAGTTCTGTGTAAAGAACTAAAACTAAAACAAAACGTATAAAAATTAGGTAGTAAATGTTCAGTGAACCAAGTCAGAAATAAAAGGCAAATACCATGTATCTTCTTTATATAAGTGAATGTTAGGTAAACATGGATCTGAATGTAAAATAGTCATTGGTAGAGGTTGGAAACAGTAGGTGGGAAAACCAGGCATAAAAGTAGTGATTTCAAATATGCAGTGATTTCGAATATTCAGTGATTTTGAATATTCAGTGATCTCAAATATTCTATAGAGTTGTCCCCACCCTTTTTGGCACCATGGATTGGTTTCATAAAAGACAATTTTTCCACAGATGGACATTTGGGGTGGAAATCAGGGGTCATTTTGGTACGATTCTAGTACATTATGCAGATCATGCAGTTTCCTTTTAATGTTACAGTGGACAGTTTATTTGTATTTTTGAAGTATATTTCATGAACAGCAACCTAGGTCCTCTGCATATACTATTCACAGAGGGGTCCACACTTCCACAAAAATCTAGTACTGCTGCACACATCAGTGTGCTTATAGAGTAGCAAAATATCACACTGCACTGAGTAAATATGCAAAATAATACATTACTCAAACTTTTAAAAAGCATTTAAGTAGAAGGAAATGCAAACCATCCTGACTTGATCAATA